TAAAAATGAATCGATTTGAAAATCATACGCTATGCAAAATATGCGTGAAATTGTCTGATGTAATGATCAATCATTGCACCATGACTTACTTACTCGAATTAATAGAGGATTGTGGCTCCAACTTGAAAAATGAAAATTTGTTTCGAATTGTCCACGAATATTTGCACCTAAACTACGCAAAATTCAAAGTGCTGAATGGGAAAAAGGTGAATAAATTAGTGTCTAATTATATATATTTTATTAGACATAGACACATAATTCAAAGCATCCAAAGTCCTGCATTTTCGCCATTAAGAAGAAAAGAAGTGGCCGAAGAATATAGAAAACACCTTAGCATTGTAACTAAAATGTATCAAAACTAAACCTATTATGTGAACAAATAAAAACCAGTCTGTCAAAAATGGTCTGTTATTGTAAACGTCAAAAAATTTCCAGTATAATTCGCTGTTGGGTACCCCACGAGAAAAAAATTTCCACTAAAATACCTCCGTTGCCATGGTAATCTGTCAAAAACACGTATTTTGATTGGTTCAAAATTACAGGTGTGGAATTTTCAATTAAAATATTTTTGTCATTATTATTACAAATAATTTTATTAAAGAGCAATAAATGTACGTTTGGCATTTAAAATTTAGTTACTTATTTCAAATAATTCATAATACAGGTCTATATTAGTTAACCTACCTGTTAATATAGTTTTTACTTATTTATTTATTTATTTATTTATTTATTTATTTACGGGCAAGCCCATTTCAATTACAAATTACAATTATAAAAATTAATTAAAATATCACAAATAGTTATGGTGCTGTTGCACAAAGACATCATACATGTCATGCAAACTAGTAACATTTAAAATAATAAAATAATAACATAGGTTAGTCGAAGGTTAAAATAGAGAAAACATACAGTAAAACATTAACATTAAAGCTCAGTATTACGTAATTGAGTTTTGAATGATGAAAATGGAATATTGAACAGCCTAAGATCATTGTGCAAGTTAGCTAATCTAAGCATTATTGGAATGCAGCTGTTAAAAGCCTGGTTTGATCTATAAAAAGGTACATAAAATATTTGCAGTTGCCTAGTTAAACGAGTTTGAACAAGAAGATTTATTTTTTCAAGAAGTTCAGGACAATTACTTCTACTATTTATAATATTAAATAACAAACTAAGGTCTCTTTGTTTTCGCCTAGTTTCCAAGGAGGGGATGTTCAGAAACTGTTGCATGAAATCATATTGACAATAAACACCCAATTTAAAAGCTATATGTCTGAGAAAGTTGTGCTGAACACTTTCTAGTTTCCTACTATATGTTATATAGTGTGGAGACCAAACAGAAGAGCAGTAGTCAAGGTGAGGTCTGACTAACGAACAATAAAGAACTCTAATTGCAGTTGTGTCAGTTAAATCACGGGTCAGCCTTTTGATAAAACCCAACATTTTCATAGATTTGTTGACAGCAGCAGATATGTGTTGATTGAAGCTTAAAATAGGATCGAGAATAATTCCAAGGTCTTTAATTTGATAAACAGAGTCTAAGATATGACCATTTAAGTTATAGTTAAATGTAGTTGAAGGTAGGTGGGAACGATAAAAACGCATGATGTGGCATTTATTGGCATTCAAGTCCATGCCATTTAAAGAACACCATTCTGATAAGTTATCGAGGTCAGACTGAATTCTACGGGCATCATCATGGGTTTTAACAATTTGGAAAAATTTTAAGTCATCTGCAAATAATAAAGCTTTGCTATTGCGGAAACAATAAACTATATAATTAATGAATAAGTTAAATAGTAAGGGGCCTAGATGTGATCCCTGAGGAACACCTGAGGTTACTTGAAATAAGTTAGAATAGTGTCGATTTGCTCTAACCATTTGGGTTCTATTAATTAGATAGCTGCCAATCCATTGCAGTAATACCCCACCCAGACCATATTTGTTGAGCTTTTGAAGTAGAAGAATATGGTTAACCCTGTCAAAAGCCTTGGAAAAGTCAGTATAGACAGAATCGATTTGTAAACCTTCATCCAAGGCTACTGACAAGAAGTCGATATAAGTGATTAAATTTAACTCTGTTGATTTTCCAGCACAAAAACCATATTGAAGCCGGAGCAATCATAAGTAAGGTAATCAGTTATAATGTTTTCAAACAATTTAGGTATTATGCTGAGAATTGAGATGGTCGATAATTTTTGATGTCAGATTTGCTACCCGATTTGTATATTGGGATAATATGATAAAGTTTCCAGTAATCGGGAAACTCTCCTGTGTCGATTGATTTGTTGAAAATATGAAAGAGAGGGCGAGACAGTATGAAGCTGCAATTTCTTAGTAGGATGGGAGGAATAGTGTCAGGGCCTGGCCCTCTTTTTATATCAAGGTTTGACAGTTTATCGTAAATGGTCGAAATTGGGATGTAGTATGAAGAAACATTAACTTTAGATTCAATTTGGCTATCGTTTAAATTTAGGATATGTGGGGTGTAGAGTGACGAAAAATGCCTTGCAAACAGATTAGCTACTTCACTGCCGCAACATGCAAGAGAGTTCTCCAAATTCATTTTATCAGGTATGCTGTTATTTGCTCTTTTACTATTAACAAAATTCCAAAATGATTTAACGTTAGTCTTAATAGAGGTTTCAACAGAATTTATATAATTTGAATAGCATTCTCTGGATAAAAGCTTACATTGTGCTCTTAAATGACTAAATATTTCATAATTATGGGTAGTCCTGTTATGTTTATAAATCCTGTGAGCAACCTTTTTATCATTAACGAAGCTCCTAAGCTGCGAGGAATACAAATGTGGAAATTTTTTCGTAGAAACTTTCCTAATGGGAACAAATAACTCAATTACGGAAAACAGAGCGTCATAAAAAATGGAAATCATCTCGGAAAGTTCCTTATCTCGAAGAAGCCCGTCCCAATCCATGTCTTCCAAATATTGACGTATACCCGTGAAATTGGCGTTGCGAAAATCATAATCACCGGGAGCCACACTTTTTTTCAACATAAATTGTACTGTTGTTTCCAGAGGAGGGTGATGCGCATCAGGTGAGATCAAAATGTCGTCGGCCAGGAGCACTGTTAGTTCAACAGGGGACAGAACTAGGTCAAACACCCCTTGTGTTGAAGACATTGTTAGACTGGAAGATATTGTACAATGCACATATATTCGAGACTATTTCGATAGCACTTGCTTCAGCCAATGAAGATGTGGGTTGAGCTGTAGCTGAAGAACAGAAATCTTCAATTTGCCATATTGCCGTAGGTAGATTGTAATCTCCAAACAGGTAAAACTGACTGCCTGGATATTGCTGCTCGTTTAGGATTAACAGTTGATCATAATAAAGTTGATATAGGTTAGTATGAGATTTGGGAGGAATGTATATGGTACCTAAGATGTGTTTGCACTTACTTTGGTCCAGGTGAATAAACAGTTGCTCGATTGAAGGGTTTCAGTTGATAATACTTGAAGAGAATTTTTTCTTAACAGAAATTAAAACACCACCTCCTCTGCTAAAGATGCTTGTCTGGGTTGTACGATCCTGTCTGTAGATGTTGTAATCGTGTAGGCCAATTTCGGCATCGTTTATCTCGTCGGTAAGCCATGTTTCCGTAAGAACAATTACATCGTATGAACAGTTTGAGACATTAAGACTTAATTGAGATAGTTTGGTTCGAAGGCCTCTTACGTTTTGATAATAAATAGACAGCTTGCCCGGATTTACTAGTTTTTTTGAATTATCGTAGGAGTATTGTTGACATATTTTATTGTTAAATCTTGTTCGCCAGCTGCAGTAACTCTCCTCTGACAGTTCCTCTGGTTGATAGTTTGGTCAAGGTGTATAAAGATCTTTTTTTCCCGAGCAATATTGTTTTTATTTTTTATAATTTGGTGCACGTCCCGAGGGGATTTCATGACAACTTTTAGAGGTCTATGCCCATTTTTATTCTTCTTCCCAAAGCGATAAACTTTAATATGTCATTGACATTTTCAGTACTTGCACCAGCGGCTTTTGCTATTATGGTTTTGACCTGATTTACATCTTCTAAAGTATTGATAGGCTCTGGAAGGTTGAAGATCAGCAGGTTGTTGGCCCTCTTTTGGCGTTCATAAAGTTCATTAATGATTTCATCACTGCTTGTCCCGGTATCATTTTTACTATCCTTGAGCTTCCGAATTTCAACTTTCAATTTGTTAACTTCAGAGCTGAGGATGTCAATCTGTCTTAATAGCGTGGGCACACTTTTGAAGGCCAGGCGGCAATCGTTACAAAAATAAACCAAAGTTCTTTTTTGCAAAACCACAGCTCGAAGTTCAGATGCTCCCAGGCCAGTACAGTCCTCACTGGGATGCATTGTCACATGACAACTGTCGCAAGCAATCAGCTTATCACTAAGAACATCACCACACGTATTACAGTTGCCAGCCATTTGAAGTTGAGTAAGGATCCTTACTACTAAATCCAATGATTAAAATTGATGAAAATTTGGCTATGGGCCACTTGACTATTAGTGAGTATTTGAAGTCGACGGCTATTATCAGAAGCAAGTTTTTGTGGATCGTTTTTGCGATTTATTTATTGATAATGATATAGACGAATGCAGAGAATTAATCAATCAAAGTATTAGAAACTACAAATTTTTAACTAACTTGAAGGAAACTTCCTGGATTATTCACTAGTTCAAGAACGAGAATTTTCGGCACACTATAACCACTTTAAAACACAAAAACAGAAGAGCAATGTAAACAGCAGTCATTAATTTTAGTACGTTACTTTTATTTTTATATATTATAGTATAGTATATATTATATACTTATGTGAAGGGTTTCGCGTTTTTTAACATTTTACTAGGCGAGATAAAACATTTACTCAAATAAAACTTCAGTATACCTTATTTAGGTACGCCAATGTTATTTTCTTTCTGCTTCAACTTGACCGACCGGTCAGTTTTAAAGATTCGAGGTATGGACATTCACTCACCGTCAAAACGGAATTCCCGCGAATATTTAACTGGAATTTCCTGCTCTTTATTTGGAAATAAAAAGAAGCAGATAAAGAAGCCAGAATTATGAATAAAAATCCTCGTTTTATCCGCTGATCCGCCATAATACTGCGTCTTTTAGTTTAAGAAACAACCGAAATGATGAAACACGTGATTAAAGTGTAAATGTTGTTTCTCGTGAATAACAAACATTATTATTAATTATTATTAGCATTTATCTTGTCTCAAAGTGATCATTTACATAGTCTGATTTAAATATTTTTAGTAACAAAAGAACCATAAGTGATTCGACATGTCTTTAAAACGTTATATTTATTTAAATTTTGTTGCAAGTAAGTTTTTGTTAGTGACACAGCTTTATTGTAATAATTTCAACATTATTAAATTTGATTCCAGCTGTTTTTCTATACGTTAATGGAAATCCTGTTTCAAATGCAACCAGTTCAGGGTAAGTGTGCTATATTTTTTTATGTATAAAAACCGTAGGTACAAACCAATAGTAAAATAGGTTGATTTCTGACTGGTAGTTAGTACCTAGTATTTGAAAATCAAATTTTCTGACGAAATAAAGATAAAGATCTAACTTAGATCGTCTTACAATTAAAAATTAATAAGTAATAATAATAATACCTTATTTGAATTATACTAAATAACAATATACAGTAAAAGTTATTATTCATGGTCTAAACACAATTTTCAAAAATTAAATTTATTTTAGTCGAGGTTTGTCGAAAATGATGAATTTTTTGCAAGGGTGACGTAACTTTTTTTTAATATCGAAAATTATTAGAAAAGTTGATCAGAATTGAAAACTATAGTCATATATTCAATATTATCAATCTACCAAGAACGTTTTTTTAATAGTTTTTGGTATAAATACGAATACATTAAATTTTGCCAATCCTTGAACGGTTTTTGTTATGGTAGATAGATAATATAGAATATCTGACCGTAATTTCGAATTCTTATCAACTTTTCTTAATAACAATTTTAGATATTGTTAAAAATAAAGATGCATTTTTATTGCATAACATTCACTATTTTTCAACAAACCTCGCATAGGACTATAGTCTAATTTTATGTATGAGAGAGTATTAAAATAATAAAGCGTTCGTAATCCATAGGCGTAGCACTTCTTTTAGTAGACAGTTAAAATATTTTTTAAAGTTATTCCTCGAGTATACACTTATATTTTCACCTAATTAACCTGCTTATAACTTCTAAACAGCTGAAGGTAAAAAAGTGCAATTTTTTCTAAAATATTTTATTTTTCCACAAGGTATGTTAAGAACATTGTGTCAAACGGGTTATGTAGGTATAAGGGTTTAAACTTTGACTTTTAAACAACGTTACGTTCATAAATAATAATTTTAATATAAAAACTACTTCTTACCTACAAATCCAAATCAGGATCGAAATCAGAAGATGAACTATCGCAACTAATATTTACAATGAGTGGCTCGATCATTTCATCAGTAATATTGTCCAACTTCCACATTTTCTCTTCTTCTTTAATCGTATGATTTACTGCTTTTTCCCAGTTTTTAGGCTTCACATTATTTACAGCCTCCAAAAACAACTGTTTAACATCACTCATTTTAAAAGAATTTCTATTAAATGTTTCCATAGTGTGCTTCGACTCATTTCAGGGTAATCCTTATCATCTCGAACCGTGGCAAGAACTTTGTCTACTGTCGGAAATTCTTTTCTAAAGAAGAACGCATGCACTTTCCTTCGAAGTCTTTCTTTCAAAAGATTTTCTTATTGAAATTTTGGTTTTCCTGGAGCTTTACGTGCTGTTTGAAACTCGCCACATTTTTCTTCTTTAACAACTCTGAAAATCGTAGATTTCCCAACACCAAGCGTACTACTAACTAATTCCACTGTGTCATCAACACTTTTACATAAATGTTTGTCTGTAAATGATTTAAAACAATTAAATATTAATGTCTTTCATTAACTGTTAAAGGACCGATTTTTTGTCGTTTACGCGGTCCTTCCAAATTTTCCATGATCACACTAGAATTCACACTGCACCTTGCAAGTTGCAACTAAACGACATTTAGTAAACTGTCAAAAATACACAACTTGTACCTCCTTACTAAATGGAAAACCTATAATCGCATTTTCGGTGAAATTTGTTGGGAAGGTATTTATCTACTTATAATTCGATTACTATAAGAAATTCTTGGAATTAAAATAAAACAAAATTGGCAAATAGGTACTTATTGAAAATAATCTTAAGATAGGGCTATGTAATCTTTAATACACAGGGCTTTTGGCATGTCCAAACCTTTTTCTATTGTTCTGTACAGCTTTAACTTCTTTCATTTCGGACTAAGCCTCCTCTTGCATCACTCTAAACATTCTTCCCGTTAGATAATATTGAAGAATGTCGACACATTGTCTAGAAAGCATTTTTTTAAGTTTCTGTATCAGAAATAAAGCTGAGCATTATACAGTTTTTTTCGTAAGCTTTTTCAATAATAATGGCTATACTGTGTACTTGATCTATTGTCGAGTGTTTGTTTGCTTGATATTGCTTGTTATTATCGGGGGAAGTTTTTTCGACTATTTCTTTTTCTTGTTGTAGATTTGTGCTTCCTCAAGGTTGGACATTTTTCTTTTTTTTTTTCGTACTCTTGGTAATGGTTTGTATAATGAAAACTAAAATAATATTATGCGGGTTTATAACACTCGATGATTCCAGATATACTGAGCGTGGGAACAGAGCGAACACACACAATACAAGCACTCTTAATATCGCGAGCTTTCTCTACAAATTTATTTTCGGCTCGTTCGAACCAAAATGCTCTAATAAATACCCTCCTTTAAATTTCAGTTTAGTAGATAATCCTTGTATAATCCTTTCTAATTAAAGAATAGATTATTGGAACTTAAATCTCAATGATCACACCAATAAATCTTTTATTTGGTACGTCTCCTCAGCCCTTTCTTCGTTTAGTGCTAGTGTAGGTATTTTTTATACGCTTCAATTTTCTAATGCCACAATTTTTAATTCTATACACTACAGTAACTTTTTTACAATATAAATCATCTAGTCACACCTTTAATATTGCCATCAAAAATTTTTTAATTGAGTAAATTAACTATTGAGTGTTATTCAAACTTATTTTAACATTTATGTTGTTTTTAGAGAATGCGTTCTGCCAATTTATCCTCCAAAAGGAAAATGGTCGATTATTGGAGGACCTGATACAAATCCTGGATCTAAAGTGCCATTAAATACTATTATTACCTTTTCCTGTGATAAAAAATACAAACTTTCAAGTGACTACAGCGTGATAACATGTCTTGGAGGCGATTGGGACCTACCTCCACCCCAATGTCTATGTGAGTATTATTTATTTAAATAGAAAAACAAGTTCCAAGTCTCGGGTCACAAAAAATTTATAATTGATTTATTTATTTAATTGAATGAAATTGGTAAATTCGCAGTAATTATATTTAGATATTTACAATAAAATGTTAATTTGTGAACCTCGAACTTGGAATCTACTTATTATTGTTTGTACTCGAAATCTTTCAAAACTAGTGGATTTTCCAAGTGAATAAATAAAGAATAGGCCAGTAAAAAAATCGAAGAAGGTATATACTCGTAGATAGATAGAAAAAGTATATTTGTTATCCATTCGCCACAAAGTTATTAATTTTATCCTAAATTCTAACTGTCAAAATAATTTAATAAAGTTTAAATTTTATATAAAATAGATATTCTAGTGATTCAGAATTTCTTTTGTGCAAAAATACTATTTACCTTTAACAAAGTGAGATTTTTTTTTACTACAAACACTTAGTACGTACTTAATAACTTCATATGATTTTAACATACTGTATCTCATTTGTAAATAACATTTAATCCACTATGATTTAGCAAAATATGAATAATGTATATCTCAATAGTTCTGGAACAAAATTTAAGGATTTAAAAATAGGTTAATAATAATATATCAAAATGACTTTGTAAACAAAAAGTTGTTTAGTTTCTTAAAATAAGAAGACAAGTGGTTTGTTATGACTTATAAGTTAGAAATAAGAAGTATTTATAATTTGGTTGGACGGATCCCTAAGCCTGAAGTAATTCGCATTTTTCAAAATCAAAATATTTCGCGGAGAAGTATTTACCCTTCTATGGCCGAATGTAAATATAGAATACCTTGTGAAAATCTCCCAAAAAGTGGAACACGATGAATTTTCCAACAGTATTTCCAACAGTAATTGTAGATAAAAAGTGCCGTCGCAGAGTGAGCGATCTGATTCTTTAGCTATAAACTGTGTCATAGGGTTCAAAATGGCCGCGCCCTATGTTGGGTGTGTCCACATACTTTGATTTTCTTTTACTATACGGAGAATGGTCGCACTGCGCAGCTTTCTGAGTGCCTTTTAAAAGGAGATAGAAAACTCCGCCATTTTGAACCCTTATTACGTGTTGCCTACATCTTGGCGCAATATTTTTAATAGGTGCGTTTTAATCATCCGCTTCTGCTTCGGAATTGTCGGTTTTCTTGTTTTAATCTGACAGGTTAAAACGACTAAACCGACAATTCCGGAAGCAGAAGCAAATGATTAAAACGCACCTGATATTTTGCTTGCTGCTGTCAGTGTCAGTTAATATTATTTTTGGAGTCACAGTTTATTGCTAAAGAATCAGTTAGCTCACTCGGACCAGTTGAAAGTTCCAAAATAACATCCACTCCAGGGATACAAATTCAGGATACGCAGAAGACTGCTGTTTTATTATAGGCGGTTGTCATATATTGTATTATCCGAGTTGCACAGTGTATAAACTGAAACATTGAGATCCAAAGTGCCGACGCAGAGTGAGTGAACTGATTCTTTAGCTGTAAACTGTGTCACAGGGTTCAAAATGGCCGTGCACATACTTTGATTACTATACGAGGCAAGAGAGAGGTCCGACACGCCCAACATAGGGCGCAGCCATTTTGAACCCTGTGACACAGTTTACAGCTAAAGAATCAGATCGCTCACTCTGCGTCGGCACTTTTGATCTCAATGTTTCAGTTTATACACTGTGCAATTCGGATAATACAATATATGACAACCGCCTATACTAAAACAGTAGTCTTCTGCGTATCCTGAATTTGTATCCCTGGAGTGGATGTTATTTTGGAACTTTCAACTGATCCGAGTGAGCTAACTGATTCTTTGGCAATAAACTGTGACTTCAAAAATAATATTCACTGACACTGACAGCAGCAAGCAAAATATCAGGTGCGTTTTAATCATCCGCTTCTGCTTCCGGAATTGTCGGTTTAGTCGTTTTAACCTGTCAGATTAAAACAAGAAAACTGACAATTCCGAAGCAGAAGCGGATGATTAAAACGCACCTTTTAAAAATATTGCGCCAAGATGTAGGCAACACGTAATAAGGGTTCAAAATGGCGGAGTTTTCTATCTCCTTTTAAAAGGCACTCAGAAAGCTGCGCGGTGCGACCATTCTCCGTATAGTAAAAGAAAATCAAAGTATGTGTGGCCGTGCCCCATGTTGGGCATGTCGGACCTCTCTCTTGCCTCGTATAGTAATCAAAGTATGTGAGTTTAAGCCTACATAAGAAGTTCTTCCTTTAATGTAAGTGATAAATGACTATAAGCCAATGTCGTTGGCATTCCAACGACCAATCAAAATGCTGCCAGTGGGAACTGGCAAGCTATATCAAACTAGCGGGCACTCTGTGGCGGCACCATTCAAGACCTGGCGGGTTTTTTGTAGCTTTTTTGTTACACTATTTGCAAATTTGTAGCTTAGCCCAGGTCCGAAAAAACAGCGGATCCGCTAGCTTGAATTTCTAGCTTAGCGGATATTTGTAGCGGCACCAGCCCGGACCCGGCACATTTTTTGTAATTTTTTTGTAGCTTTTTTGTTACGCCTGTCTCGATTTCGTTGCGAGGCCTGAACGTGAGTAATAATCGTTTCTCCATGAGCGTGAGAGAAAAGTGTGTTAATTTAAAATCAACTCGATAATGTGACTATCTGTTGCTAGATGGCACCAGTATTGCATTTCACGAATTATGGCCATCTTCCATCCAATATATTTTTGAGAAATTTCGATATAATCTCAAAATCGGACATTTTCAACGGTATGTATATTAATTATTTGTCCGATATTAATGTAAAATACATATTGGCAAGATTATTAAAATAGTTGTATGTCGGACGCCACTATTTTCCCGATCGGGTGTTTTCGGTTATTTTTAACCGACTTCAAAAAAGGAGGAGGTTCTCAATTCGTCGCTATATTTTTTTTATGTACCTATGTTCAGCGATAATTCTTTAACACGGTGTCCAATTTCAATGATTATTTTTTTGTTAGAAAGGGGGTACTTCAGGGGTGGTCCGATATATTTGGTCAAAATCTAATAATTGGGTCCATGGGAAAATCCTCAAACTCTTCATTTTTTATGTATGTTTAGCGATAATGCTTTACCACCTTGTCCGATTTATATGATTATTTTTTTGTTAGTAACCCTAATAGCACAGTATTGTTACACGAACGTTCCAGAAACATACCCTTGGGACATTAGAAACGTCTCTGTCATGTTTCTTATTCTCCCTCAAATGTACCTGGGATGTTTCTGGCAACGACCATGTCATCATTTGTAACGTATTAGAGACGATTCACAGAGATGTTTGTGGAACATCCTGCGATGTTGCTCAAACGTCTTAGGTAAGTTTTTTATACTATTGCTGAAACGTTCTTGAAATGACCTAAACGTTTTTAGTAGGATAATCAAAGCTATTACTTTTTTTACAAATTTATTTGAAAAATAATATTTTTTGACACAAAAATAAAAAATGTTAATTATTACGCCACGATTCATTGCGTCTATTTCTTTCCGGAGCCCTCCACAACCAGTCATTTATTTTAATTTCCATTTCTTTTTTGTTTACCAATTTGCCGAATCTGAAAATGTTTCAATTAACTGACAATATAAACAATTGATATTAAGTTAAAATAATTACCCATAATGGCTTCAGCTATTTTTAACTTGGCGTCTTCTTCGTTTCCAGTGAATGAAAACAACTTACACAACTCGTTCCTTGAGGGGAGCTATGCATCTTCTGATACATTATCTAAAATAGTTATTTCTGAAGTTAACAAATAAAGAAATAAATAGAATGTATAAAAGCCACATTTTGTTAAAAGAAATTAAGTTACCTTCTTCCTTTTGGCTTGAATATCTTGCACGTAAAACGATTGTTTTTGCATTTTCCAAGCCTGATTAAACCTTAAATTAGAAGTGATTTTTCATGTAGCTTTACGTACAAACTATACACGTCAATCCGGCCGCCTATTATCACTTTTAGTTTATAGAGAAGTTGTTTATTACTTTTAAAACTTTTCCAAATTTTATTATAAGCGAGGCGAAATACCTTTTCATTATTTTCAACTGTCAACACTAATGAACTGTTTGTCATACGTCAATATTGTCATTGGATCATTATACGGTAGATGTGTTCGGTTAATACTCCGCGAGCAAATCAAATATGAGGTTTATTCCTTTTTATTGAAAATATCGTTCCATCCATACAATTTGTACAAATGGAACGATATTTTCATAAGTACTGTAGCTTAGTGCTACACTTTCAATGCAAAGAAATAGATTTCATCACGAGGACTTCCTTCAATAGTGCATTTTTTTAGCTCGCGGTGGATTAACCGAACTCTTCTGCTGAGCCAGAAGGAAGGGTATATTCATCCCTGTCGTATTTGCTTTGCAATCTTTTTTGAAGGAACTAATAAAGATAAATTTGGCCTTTAGCAGTTGTCTTGTGAAATAAAAAATATTGTTCAAAATGTTCAAATTTAATATTGGAGTTTGATATGATTGTAGATTTCTAGTGATTGTAGTAATTTTATAATTTATTGATATTTCAAAATAATTAAAACGAAAATAGAATACCTAAAACATTATTACGATGTTTCTAAAACGTTCTTGAGAAATCATTCCAGAAACGTTTCTTTAGAGACATCGTAGGGACGTACCATTTATGTCAGAAACATAGAAACATACATGGAATCTAAATGGGATGTTCCTGGCAGATCGGTGTTATTAGGGAAGGGGGTACCTCGGGGTGGTCCCATATAAATTTGGGACGTTTTTGAAGTCGGTTTTTTAAAAGTTTTAATTTCTAATACTTGTTACTGCTAAAAAACTTACTGCTAACTTCACACCGGTGGTAATAGCCACCAAGCAATTACCTATTCTCACTATATACAGGGTGTTCCATCTCAGACGAGCCACCCCGTATAGTTCTTATCCCATAGTAATTGGAAAAATTTTCCAAAACACATCTGTTGATTTTCTTTGGC